TTTCACTCTTTTTCGAAATAAGATTTAAAGGAATAAAATCTCACTTCTATTTTTAATTTTCTAAAATGAGACTTTATTCCTTAATGTGACTTTTATTTCAAAAGAGTAAGAGAAATCTTACTTCAAAAGAATGAAATCTTATTCTTATAAAGAATAAAAATCTGGCACTCTTATTCAAGGATAAAATTATTTTCACTCTTTTTTTAAGACTGGCTCACTTTTCAGTCTTTTGGAGTGAAATTTCACTCTAAAACATTTAGAGAGTATATCCTATCAACTAATAATTATTAATAATATTTCTAATGATATATTATATAATGAAATATATATATTATAATGAAATATTAAACAATAAAGATAAATTTTTATCACCATTTAATCAGCAATTCTTAAATACTTTTGCAACGAAATAAAACGTGTCAAGGATTATTGAATAAAATTTGATTAAATTGGTTCATTATTTGCATCTAGATTAATATTCGTAGAAATTCTGAAATAATTCCATGAGAAATTCAGGTTCAGTAAATTCGCAGCTACAAATCTTGAACTAATCACAGTTATCACGGTTAAAAGTACAAATGAAAAAAAGCGGACATGCCGCACTTTCACCTGCATGTAACAAGCATTCAGCTCTCGCAACTGAACGCGGCAGGCACCACCGATCCGTGCCCGTTTTTTATTTCACGATGATTACCAATCCGTTTCCATCTCGATTCAAATATCAGATATAGTCACGCCGCGCCGGGCGCACGCGGGTGGCGTGCTTCCTTGCGTGCATCGCGCGAATTTCGCAGAAAAATTCTTTATCAGGACACGGAATACCCAAACGTAATACATAGCGTCGTTTTACCGTCGACCAGTTTTTTTATCGATACATGCATCGTAATACGATGTAGGTTAATGGTCATGCGTGCAGCGGCCATGGAGACGATCGATTTCCTTCTTTCTCCTGTGTTTTTCTTCTTTCTTTTTTTTGTTACTGTGTCACACACCACACTCTTGATATATACATGAACCGCGACGGCGCGACGTTGGTGTATCGGCTTTTCTTCCGGGCATCGGCGTTCTTTGTGCCGCCGCGACGACAATCCGTGCCCGTATATGCACCATGGTCATGTAAATGTGCATGCAATTATGCATGTAACTCTAGATAGAGGCAGGTAAAGGTACTACTTTTGCAACGCGGTCATGTATAATCAAAGGGTCTGGGAATTATAATATTGCCTACGTCATTAATTCTTTTAACAACAGTTATTCAGAAAATTGTCAAATTTAGATGTCCCGAATTTCATACGTGCGTGCACCTCGAATTTCATAGATGTATATTTGTAGGAAAAAAAATATTGCTCTCTTCATAGAAAAACCAATAAATGTAGGTTCAAACGTAACAACTCAAAAACAAAACGCGTAATGCGGAATGATTGACACACTCTTGACTAACTTGTATAACAAAATATATTTTCAATAAAAATAATGAAAAACGAGACGAAAACAAAAGACTCAGAGAGATAAAAATCTAATTAATAAATCAAGAGCCTAGCTAGATGTTTATTACTAAATTTTAAACAAAGTTTAAACAACAGACAACCTTCTAACTTTTAACCAGGTTATCGATGTTTTAAACTCTAAGAGTCATGTGCGATATATAATTTAAATTAATTGAGAGTATAAAAACTTATCTATATCTATTCTAACAGCAATTATAATAAATGCAAAATACAAGTACGCAATAGTACATTATTTTAAGCGATTCGAATTAAATCAAATAAATATCTTATAGAGAAATTTTCAAACTTGACTAACTTCGTGCATTTTATGATAAAAATATCTAGATAATTACGTTATATAAAATTATTACGAAAAGCCATTAAGAAATAATACTTGTTAATTTCAACGCTCGAAAGTTATTGCATTGTCGCATTTATCCGATAATATCAATGTACAATACAATGTACAATATAATAATGAAAGGAAGATAATAGTTTTTTATAAAAACGAATAAACATTGCAATATTATCTACTTGGTTATTATAAATCAAATTACTCCGAGTTCTGAGAGAGCAATCAGCTATGTTTTAAAACTAAAAATTTTCTCGAGTTAATCAATAGCAGGTGCGAGAAAGATTTTTATTGGGGAACCCTTTATTATTATACGATCGATTTAATCTTACTAAACTGAAATCAAATCGAGTTTAATCTGCGAAAAAAATCGAAAAATCTGCAATCTCAATCTCTTGGATTAAGAGAAGATAAATTTTCGCGTTTGTAGGAGATTTCCAACAGCAACTTCAAGACGGAGATAAATCATCATCACCGAAGCTACAAAGGAGCTTTGTACAAACTCCGCAATGGCACATCGCACTAGATAACGGAAGAATACAAGACAACAAAAGCTTCTAACAACATTTGAAAATCTTTTCAGCATCGCCATTTTTGAGAAACTGCTCTTCGGTTGCTACTTTTCGTTCCCGGCGCAACGATGACCGAAGGAAACAAATGGTAGAAATGGTTGGTCCGACCCGCTATCGATTCGCACAGTCAGTCGTACCCAACCGTGCCAGTGGCCAAGGAGGTTTAAGCACCGTTCACACGGAAACCGTGTCCCTCCAGTTGTGCCTCTCTCGTCCGTTTTATTCGCATTCTGCTCATATTATATCCAATTACATCACCACGGCCATTACGAGCCGCCGCTTGCGTTCCGCGCTGGTTACAACGAGGTCAAGCTGCATGCAGGAACGAAAACATGTTATTAACTTTATTCCATGTGGTATATTTACGGATTATCCCGATAATCGATATTGAATTTAGATGGAATTTAGAAAAATAGACAAAAAATTCGTTATTTCAACATTTGGCAAGTAATACAAAGCTCAAAATTTATCACATTCAATAAACTGACATTTTGATATTTAGAGATTTGATATTAGAGATAAATTTAAGGATTCACACCTACACACATTGTGTTAAAGTTCAGATTTGATGTGGTCGAAAATTCACGCAGCAGGGAATTGATTGATATATCCCAGAATACAAAAGCGGGAAGTGAGATATATTCAAAGACTCATATAAAATCAAATTGATAGATTTCCATAGATAAATGCAAAGTTTTGTATCAATATAAAAACTATAATTTCTCGAAGATTGATAGCCTCAAAAATCTTACAGTTCACAGGAAAATTAACAGATTTTAAAATTCATTATACCTTGCAATCAACAATTCTAAGCGTGTAACTAAACTATGAAATTAAATTACATTTTGATTCTTCCTCGCACCTCAAAATTTCATAATTTTCATTATTTATAACTGCAAAGAATAATAGATCGAAAATCAAATATTTACTATACTCAGATTCATCGAAATATTTTAAACTTCCGTAACTCGACGTTCTTTGAATGAAATGAGATTCTTTAGTAATCAATATAATCGTCATAGTTTTATTTTAGAAAGTATTCGAAATATATCTATCACGTGTGAGATACAGGTAAAGTCTGGTGCAGAATTAAAAAGTAAATACTAAAATAAAAAAATGTTAAAATGCTTTATGGATTAAGGATTTTACAGCGTCAGAGTATGCTCTCGCGTGTGCTGTTCCACCGTCGCCGCATAAATTAATGTTATCTCGGGGGATTATACTGGGTTGAGTAGTGCGCGCGATGGCATTGCCGCATGATGAAATTTGATGTATTTCTCTCTGTCGGCTGATTAGATATTTTTAAGGCTTCGTGACTCACGTAATCAACGAGTACGCTTTGAATAAATAAAAAAAGCTTTTAGCATAAACAGTTACCGTTTTTAATTTTTCATTTAAAAATGTAGTTTTAATCCTCACGAGTTCGAAAATTATATAATATATCAAATAATAAGGCATCAAAATACTTTTTATTTTTGTATATATAAAATGAAAATTATTTATTTCTACAATATTCTACAAGCTATTATTTTGAAAAAGAGATTTAAAATGCAAAAATTATGTTTTTCATAACGTAAAACGTAGTTATTTTACTTATGAAAATTTTATGTAAATATATAATAAATGACGATATATTATACAATCCTGTAAATAAAAATAGATCGATAAAGAATTGACAAAAATATATAACAGAGAATACACGAAATCACGCAAACTCCCCTGTGTCCAAAAATTCGATCGAAACTCGTGGTTTGGCTGACAAACTTTTTCCATTCGTTTTTTCCCTTGAGCATTGTCATGTTAGAGAGAGAGAGAGAGAGAGAGAGAGAGAGAGAGAGAGAGAGATAAAAAAGAGTTTGCACTATTTTCACTATCCGTGTAATTGATTCGGAGTTTTCTTGAAATGTACGTTTTCTAGAAATGTGCTCGAGAAAAGCCGGGATCCAATTTTATCTCTTCGTCTTCTCAAGTGTATAAAGAAACGACGTATATCGACAATATCGAGCTACTTCGCGAATCTAGGGCAAATGTATCTATGTTAAAAGCTCGATAATACTTTTTCGATATGAATGTTAAAAAACACTCGTTGAAAACGTAACATCGGCTAATCATATTGTCAATTAAGCGATGGCAACTTACCGACGCTGTTTTCCCATTTTTACTCGTGACTTTTAACAGCGACCCTTCGTACCCCTGAAACAGGAATAAAATATCACGTCATTAAAACTTCATATCATATCAAAATACTGTTTGCAACCGATATGGTTAAACAAAAAATTGACTAACTTTATATGAATTTGATATCTGTTACATATTTTATTTTTGTTTAAAAATAAAACAAAGATCTGTATTATTTTATAATAACTTAAATTTATATAAAAATGTGAAATAAGCATTAGAAAATAGATACATGCAAGTCTATTTTAAATAGTATAATATAACATAAAACAATTGTATTTTCATGTATCCTGGAAAATTTGGATAGTTTTTAAAAAAATCCCCTTTTTAAAGTAACTTTTTGAAATAAGAAACAAACATCACACACGATACTCAATTAAATATTTAAACACTAGCAATAGATCAACTAATACTTGCAAATAACTAATATAGAAATTTCTAGGCTAAGAAATTATTTTAAAAATATAATACACATATACAATATACGATTCTGTAATTTATTGTTAAATGCGCACGGTTCTGTTTGCAGCAGAATTTACGGAGACTGTTCAGAATAGCAAACAGTCGAATGAAAAATGAAGCAAGACATTCAGATATATTATTAAATATCTAACACAAATGCTAAGATATTCGTGAATTTCTTAACGGCTATCGCTTGAATTATCCATCGTTAACGTGCTCTATTCCATTTCCTGACACGAGAAAAACTGTGTAACAAACTTTTTAATTTTCTACGATCTTAATGCGTAACACTTCGTTATTGCGCTATTGTGCTCGAGAATCTTGTTTCATGTTACCGCTAAAGATAAAGGAATCCTTACAGTAAGATAACGTTTCCGTAATTTTTATAAGAGAGCCTCAAGTAGAACGCGCGAGATGAACACTCGGTTACATGCGAACGCTGTAAGTAGTATTCATTACCAGAGTACCAAACTGTTAATAATTGCACGATCGCGATGGAAGTGCTAATTAACGAAGCCGCAATTAGAGAGCGCTGTAAGTCTCGGAACGTTTATCCGACGTGCTACGTTTTTCGAGTTTAAACATTTCAAACTTGCATACGCGAGCAATAGCAAAAATGCTGCACACCATTTTCCAAAGATTTCCAAATATTGATCATCAATTAATTGTAGCTGCAATTATAATTATCCAAAAATTATATATATTTAATAAAACTAAAAATAGAATTAAATATCTTTTGCCAAGATAATTTATAGTTTTGTAACAATACGTGAAAGTGTGTAAAACTTTAAATAATTAATTCTATTAATTGTTCTTTATTACAATTTTATATTAAAAATTTAGACATAAACACATATGTTATTATTTAAATAAGTTAGAAAGTTTAATGATAAATTTGAATTTCACCTAAATGTCTCACTTTAGACGCATGGATCGATGTGCGAAATTTCCCAAGTATCTATTACAACATTCTTGGCACTCGTGAGGTTCTTAATCTTGCATCATTAATCAGCTTGTCCTATTCATGAAATATTACTGCTTAATTTTTATAGCAAATAAAATAAAAATTCTTAAGTTTAAATTTAAAATTTAATTTCGTACTATAATAACTATATAGGAATTAATAATTGTATTTAACTCAGATTATCAGATTGGTTAATCAATTTCCTGCTATTTCTCGCGTTAAGAATATAATTAATGCACACGATATTATAAATTTCAATATTAAATTTTCATTGTCTGTTCATTCAAAAAATATATGTCTTATCATCTTAGATATATCGGTACGCTACGTTATATTTCTAAAGTATTCATTTCAACATTCTTGGCGCTGAGTTCAGTGTCTCGCACATAATTAATTAACTTCCCTTAACTATGAAATATCGCAGTCATTAAAAGACTGGTCTCGCGAGGAAGCATAATCGAGTTTTCGACGTCACTCGCATATGTTGTGCTCACACGATACATACAATGTGCAAATAGTTCCTGCACTTCTCTGAAAGTTTCGCGGTAGTACGAGACGTTGGCGAACTGATCCGCCTGGCTCTCCTTCCGGCGCGCTGAAAACTCGTCGTAAATCTATGGAAAACGGGTCGCACAGATTATGAGTATAACGTTACGATATCTCAAAAACGATTAATAACTGGATTCGCGATTCAACGGTATTCTTCGCGTATGCAAAAGATTTGCGAGCGAAAATAACGTGCGTGGTGTTGCTACTCAAGGTTTATTGTTTGCGGTATGTCGCCAGTTATGTGTCATATCGATGCCAAGAAATCGCGAATTCTCTCTTGATGCGAGGAGCAATGATTCGTCGCAATGATTCGCGTGCAGAAGACGGCCGCTGTCAATATACATCACTCCTACACCGCAGTCGATGCATATATTGTATATGAGACAATATACACGTTTTTGCGTTCAAGATATGTTTGCAGTCTTTCTCGTAATAAATTTTCAGAATTCCGATGTGCAACTCTTGTCGTTTCAATAGATTCTAATAATTTTTATTTTTTTTTTTTATTCGACAATGTCAAGCAATAATTTAGTGTTTGTTTTCTCGAAATAAAAAATTCAATTCGTATTATATGAAAGATACAAATGTATGTAAAAATCGGGCATATTTACGCATAGGCAAGTTATTATTTCTGATTATATAGAACGCATCAAGTATCGCATTCAAAATTTTATCTGAGTCATAATAGAAGGCGAATAGTGTGTATCAATTATAAATAATTGAGTGAAAGCAATATATTGCATCGATCAATTTCTGGAATACGCACAGATAACAATATTTCATTTTTTCGTTTCAATTTTAAACAAAGTTTACTTTAATAGGGTAGAAATGAAGAATATATGTGTGTATATGTATATATATATATAATTACATTTTTTAATTAAAAAAAATATTGAAAGAGACTGCAATTTATAGTAACAAATTTACCTACAAATTCATATATAAAGAAATATAGGAAATAAAGAAATAAAGAAATAAAGAAATAAAAAAATCTATTTCAATCGCAATAATGTTAAATGGATCGATTTGCAT